TGTACTCTCAGGCATGGGTTGAGTTGAGCCAACTACGGCATCTTTCCTACCTTCCTGCTAGGATACAAAGGTGATTAACTATTGCCCCAGTTTTCAATAACTTTGCCTTGCAAAATGTTCAAGATGACTGGTCAGCATCCAGGCTTTTAAAAACATGAATAACACATATATCTAAAGATAAGAGTAAGTGCAATACAGGATCAGGCGCAGTTTTACAGAGCGAGGAGAGAGCTGGAATTAAAGGAGCAGACAACCAAGGAGAAAGAGAGTCCAAGTGGGTCCATTCTCTCCACATTTTGAATAAGGTCTTGGGGAAAACTGAAGTGAGTGGGGGCAAGATAAAGTGTGCAAAGATGTAGTATAGACATTAGAACCCAAGGGGCACCTGGGTGGCTTAGTCGGTTGAGCATCCAAGTCTTGATTTCCACTCAAGTCCTGATCCCAGGATTGTGGGTGCGAGCACATTGGGCTCTGTGCTGAGCAAGGAGCCTGCTTAAGATATTCTCTCTCTCTCTCTCTCTCTCTCTCTCTCTCTCTCTCTCTCTCTCTCTTTCCCTCCCTCCCTTTGCCCCCCACCCCTACTTGGCACACTCTCATGCTCTCTCTCTCTCTCTCAAATTAAAAAAATGAGATCCTTAAAGATATCAAGGTATGTTTATGCTTAAATATATCCCAAGAGCAAAGGAGTACACATTTTATTTAAAGCACTACAAATAAAATGTTAAAATGTAGAGACTCGTGGAGGGAAGGGGAGGGCAGAAGGGACTGATATAAGTAGTTCCTCCGGTCTTTCGCTTTGTCAGTCAGCTGCTGAGACAAATCACGGTTCCATGAACATGTCAAATTTCTCTCCATCTGCCCCAGAGCCCCTCTCCAATATTGTAGTCTTAGGATATAGTCACATTTCCCTGTACTTCCCATCTCCCTGTATCTAAAAGCACGATCTCCTCTGCCTAGTGTCCCCTCTGGTCTGCTTCATCTTTCCAGGTTTAGCTAAAACGCAACCAGACTCATGTCGATAAGTAAAGATTTTTCCCACTCCGGGACCCCTAGGGTACTTTGTTTGCAAAGTGCAGAGCACCGAACACGTGTGGCTTCAAATTCTGCAACACAAATCCACACAAACCTCTAAAAGCAGAATCCACTGTGGCTGCCTGTATTTTCCCAAGATAAGAAGATCACAACATCTTCCATCCAGGCCCTTCCGGAACCTTGCCAATAACCTGTCAAGGCACAAGGTCTAATTCTGTTTCATTTGAGTCTGGGCAGGGTTGTGGCTTGACTGCCACTGATAGAAGGCAGTGGAAACGGTGCTGCATGACTTCCAGGTCACAAAGGCATTCATCAAGCTTTCGTCTTGCCGCGGAAGCACTTAGGCTTTGAGCCCTGAACCTCCATGTTAGCAGTTCAGCCACCCTGAGGCTGCCATGCTGTGTGGAAACCACACCACATGGAGAGGCCCTGGATGGGTGCTCTGTCCACAGTGCTCATCTTCAAATATCTCATCCCAAATCAGGGACCAGATATGTGAGTGGAGGAGTCCTCAGATCACTTTGTCCCCCAATTTCATGTCACTCCAGACATTATGGAACAACCCTAAGTGCTATGGAGCTGGGAGATGGTCCCTCCCATGATGACGGCCCAGACGGATGAGGTCGTGCTGGCCTGGCTCTCACTCAGCCAAGGCTGTCTAGGCCCCCAACATTATGGAACAGCCATTCCCACTATCTCGATTCCAAAACCACACAATCCATAAGCATAATAATAAAGTTGTTTTAAGCCACTAAACTTGGGGGGTGACTTCTTATGCAGCAACAGTAGCTGGGGTACCAGGTATGAACTGTATAGGTATTTTCACTGAACTTACAACAGTAAGTAATCAGGGGTATCCTGATTCAGAGTTATGACCACAGCCATGAAGTCATCAGATAGACGAACGCCCAGGAAAACTAGGGCAGTGTCAGTGGATTCTCCAGTGCTGGATGAGAGAAAAACATTATGAGCATTACTTCTAAGACAGTTTTTTGACTTGAAGCAAGAAAAGATATTTGGGGGGAGTCTATCACTTTTCTAGAAGAGAAAAGTGAGCAGAATTTGGGTGCCTACAGACTGCTGAAAACAGGCACAACTCCCTCCCCAGGACCCCCGGGTACACTGCCTTCCTGCTCTAGGGAAGACCACCACCCAACTTAGGCAGGAGGGGCCCCTGTGGGACGAAAACAGCAAAGGACACATCTCAGACAGGTTAGGGATTTCCAGGCAGTCGCAGTAATAGTCCTTTCTGTTGTTTCTTATATATGTCTTTTTTATGCCACGTTGTGGGTCTCACATACACACACACACACACACACACACACACACACACACACACCACAGCTGACGGTGTACAGGACTTCCTGAAGCTTGGACAGAGTAATTGTTGCTGGGAAGAAAAGGGAAGTGAGTTTTGCCTTCTGTGGCTGACATGTGAGGGGCTGGGCAAACTTCCCAGTCCAAGGAATCTCTGTGACAGGCTCATAAAGGAAAGGAGAATAATCCCCACAGAAGTTGCTGAAGTGAAAGTGAGTTGTCCAAACACGGGACCCATTCATTATATGGGGAACGGCTGAAATGAAAAATAAAACTTGGTAGACTTTGTAACGTCTTGACAGTTAAGTAGATGTCAATTGATATTGTGAAGACATTTAGGAATCCAAGAAATTACTATTAGGACTATTATTTTTCTTTGCTTAAGACAACTGAATAATTTCGCATGGACCAGGATGGGAATATGAAGTTCTTGGATGTTTCAATCAATCAATCGATCAATGATTACTGAGCAGGAAATTCCAAAACTCTTTGTTTGGATAAAGAAATTCCAAGAAAGAACTTTTTAAAGTCTGTAGTAAATGGATGTTTCCTTCCGTATTAGCTGTGATTTATTATGCATTACAGGTCTACTTGAGGCTCCAGACTTATATTTTAAATATCAGGCTTTCTTCTTCTTGTCCTAAAAGGTGTAATCATGAGCTGAGTATTGGTTTAAGGGACTTCAGTCTTCTTAGTGTAATTACCTGCCCAACATCCTCAATTATCTGATCACTAACTAGTCAAATCTCCAGTTTACCTATGGTGACATTCTGGAAAAAGTCAATTACAGATCATCTTGTATTAGTTACAATGGTGCTGGCTGTTATTACACATAAACCCGCAAAACAGTATTATTGATTTATATAAAATACACAATTTTACTTATGAAAGTTATGTCCCACTCATGTAGAGTCCGACTGACGCAAGTCTCCACTCTGCACAGCCCTCTGGTGACCCCAGCTGAGAAAGCAAACGCATGAGTGTCCTCAACACATGGCTCACAGCGCCATGGCACAGACATCCAACCAACATACAGAACACAGGGAGCAAAGCGTCATATTTTTATCGGCCAGGCTTAGATGTGTTTACATGACTTTTGCCCACATCCTGATGGCCAGAGCTCATCACATGGCTCAAATTAGATGCAAATGTTTCTGGGCGATGCTATCCCTGGCTGACCATCCACTTCCCAGCAACACAGAAAGGAGCATAGTTCTTTGGTGAACAACCAACACTTCTCCACCCATCTCATTTACACCGTGGATGCTACCCATCCCCAAGCCTATGGGGTAGTGCCACACATTATTATTTGAAGTCCAGTCACAACAGACCCATGCTTTGCTGCCTTGGTCTGCATTATATTTAGTTTGGAGAAGTGCTATGGAGCTGGCAGACGGTCCCTCCCATGACGACATAGCACAGATGGATGAGGTTGTGCTGGCCTGACTTGCGCTCAGCACAGTGGTGCTATGACCTTTCGTGTTTCCCATGTTCCTTCACCCAAGGGGTTGGAGGAGGACCATATATGGGAGGCCTTGTGAAGGAGAGTGTTCCTTCCATCCTTAATGACAGATAGACACATTAGCATGGCGGGTGCCTGCAGGCCAACTTTAAGAAGCCAGCACTGGGCATCCAGAAGATTTGCTGCGGGGTGCCTGGGTGGCTCAGTCGGTTGAGCGTCCAACTTTGGCTCAGGTCATGATCTCACAGTTTGTGGGTTCGAGCCTTGGATCAGGGTCTGTGCTGACCGCTCAGAGCCTGGAGCCTGCTTCGGATTCTGTGTCTCCCTCTCTCTCTGCCCCTCCCCTGCTAATGCTCTGTCTCTCTCTGTCTCAAAAATAAATAAAACATTAAAAAAAGAAAAACATATTTGCTGTGAGGTTAGGCCTTGGCCAGGATTTCACTTAGTAATAAATTCTAGCTGCCCTTGTTCTTTTGTAAGCAGCTACTAATAACGTAACGCCTGGGGCAAGCAAGCCTGTATAAAACCCTATTCATTTGCATAATAAACCGGCCTGCTGTGCGGGCCCATCACCCTCCTTCTATGTAGATCTAAATTATTTTTAAGTAACGGCAATGTAAACTATCATGGACTGTTATCCCATTGTACTAGGCACTGTACAAAGTCCAGGACTTCTATAATAGTAACAATCATTCTGTAAAGTAGACATTGGTTTTGTTTTAAAAGGAGGTACCTGGGCAAGGTTAAGTAGGTTGTTCAAAGCAAATGATGAGTGGCTGAGCTGAAATTCAACTCCAGAACTATGTAACTCTAAAATGTGTTCGGGGCGCCTGGGTGGCTCAGTCGGTTAAGCGTCTGAGCTTTGGCTCAGGTTATGATCTCATGGTTCGTGAGTTCGAGCCCCGCATCGGGCTCTGTGCTGACAGCTCAGAGCCTGGAGCCCGCTTCAGATTCTGTGTCTCCTTCTCCCTCTCCCCCTCCCCACTTGCGTTCTGTCTCTCTCTCTCTCAAAATAATAAGTGAATATTAAAAAAAAAATTAAATGCGTCCTCCCTCCACCGTGCAGTGTGATGACGACGGCCAGCCCCCCCAGTATCACGCCATGAGGTGCTTACCACCAGCCAAGAGCAAATGCTCTGCACACACCAGGCAAACACCAGCCCACTCCCCGCTCCATGGCAAGACTCACCCACATAAGGCTTCTCAGACTGCTCGGGGGCCTGCCTGGGGCCTTCACCTTGACAGAGTAGCCCCCACGTACGGCAAGTTCGGTGACAATGTATTCATTGCCAAGTGAGCGTTCCTGGCCCATAACCGTGCACAACAAGAGCATAGGACCTGTGGCCACACCCACTCCTTTCCAACCTTGCAAAGGGCGAGCTGCCGAGACACCACAGCTGTTCTGGATCATCGTGTTCAGGTGGACATCATTACAAGGCCCTTCACGTGTCTGCTTCCCAGTCAACAGTCAGGTGTCCCTCCTCTGTCTCCAGCGATGTCACAAAAGCAGCACTGATTTAAACAGTGACCAGTGGGTCACCAAGAGAGCCTTTTTGCCCAGCCACAGGATATTTTAAAAGATAGCGAAGCCAAGAATCTGTATCACTTAACACCTTCTCCAGTGGGACAGGCGTGTGTGTTCCTTTGGAGAAGTCACGCAAAGGTAGAGCATTTTGATGCTGGGCACAAGAAAGAAATGAATGCTGCAAGGTCCCTTGGCACCAGAATTAAAATAATGACTTCACTTATCGCAGTACCTAAGATTGCCAGGCCCTGTGCTGGATGATTTACACACATCGTCTTATTCAATCTCCACAAGGATCCTACAAAGGCTAAAATGTTACTATCTCCATTTTACAGAAGGAAGGTTCAGTGAATATGTCACGAATGGCAGCAGCAGAACTGGAGGTTTGTCCGTCTGTCTCTAAAGCCCAAGTTCTCTTCTCTGAACCAGCCCACCTGGAGGTCCCAGAGCTGTCTGCAAAGAATGCCAGCCAGAAGGAAATCCTGACATGGAGCGGAAAGACATTCCAGGGCCCTGTGGCAGTGCTTTTGTTGTGCAATTACAAGAAAGGGAACACGATGTTCTGAAATCGCACAAGGAATGTAAACAAGACAGATGGAATCTCAGATCTGGTGCTAATCCCTTGCTGGAAGTGGATTCCAGAAAAAAGGTCTTTTGTATAGCATTTGACTAGGTAGATTGGCCCCTCAAACCCTGAAAAAAAAGTGCTGAGCTGAGCACAATGGCAGAGTTTTGCAAAGGTGTATGCACTTAAGATAGTTTATCTCTTCCTAAGCAAGTGGTTTCCTTGCTTCTACTGGATCTCAAAAGAGCTAGTGAAGAATTCCCAGGAAGACGAGAATTTAGCTTTTAGAAGGAAAATCCCAAAGCTGACATTTGTTGACAAAAGTAACTTCACAAGGTTTGATGGAATGATCTTGGTATTTCGCAGTGAACCCCAGTGCCACCCACTTAAGATCTGTAACCACTTATGGGGACAGCGGTGGGATGGAGTTATGTGAAGGACCCCTGCCACATGCCTCTTCACATACAATAAATAAAGAGACCGAGGTCATGAACTCCCTAGAGTTGTTTCAGTTGCTTCAAGTGAAAACACTCACATGTGAAAATGCATGCATATTTTGTCACATTTTATTTATAACTCAAGCTTTAGGAACTTACAGTAGAAATGAGTTCATGCCATGTAACCATTTATTGAGTATTCACAATGTGCCAGGCCCTCCAGGTGGTGTCTTACTGAATGTTGACAATACCCTGAGAGTTTGTGGACAAAAGAATTCTCATGCCCGTGCTATAGAGGATGGAATTGAAATTCAGAGAGGTTAAGTGATTTTCCCAATGTCAAATGACAAAAATAAAACCGTGCCATGACTTTGATGTCCTTTATTCACAGGGAAACGACCTATGCATTGGGGGAGGACAGTGCTTCTCAAGCAGTAAAAAAGCACTCTTCCTGAGGGAGTTGGGGCAAGAGCAGATTTTTTAGAGCATAAGAAACGGCAACTCAGAGAATCAATGGCCAAGAGGGTGGGGACTTCCTTATAAAGCTCAAAGTTCCTATTTTCTCGGCTAAGGTAAGGCAGAGCTGAGTTGGGCGATTGTGACTGGCATATGCTAGGTTTCTGTGACAGTGACACATTTCCCTTAAGTGCTACACACTTAGGTTTCGATTTGTGTGGTGGGCCATGCCACTGGGGAAGCCTCGATTTTGCAGGTCCCGATATAAGAATTACCTTTATCATTGAAAAGGAAGAAAAATGGGGTGCCTGGGTGACTCAGTCAGTTAAGCGTCCAAGCGGCTCAGGTCATGATCTCAGGGTTTGTGAGTTGGAGCCCCTCGTCATGCTCTATGCTGACAGCCAGAGCCTGCTTTGGATTCTGTGTCTCCCTCTCTTTCTGCCCCTCCCCTGCTCACACCCGGTCTCCGTCTCTCTCAAAAATAAATAAACATTAAAAAAAAATTTTTTTTTTAAAGAAAATGGAGGGAAAAACAGGATTGCCTTTATCACCAAGAACACAGAGGTAGTAAGTGGCTGAGTCCAGATTAAGACCCAGGTCTTTGCTTCCAAAGACAGGCTCTCTCTCTATCAGTTCTCTGAATAACAGACTTGAAGTTTTCTAGCATGGTTGTGCAACAGGTCACCCGAGAAACTATAGGACCTTGCTTGGCATCACTTTGAAGTTTCTATTCCACCAAAGCATCTCAGGAATCCTTGAGAGTAGCAAAAAAAAAAAAAAAAGTGTTTGTGTATGTATTCAGAGGTTGCTTATTTTTTACACATAGCCCTTTTTTTTTTTTCAACGTTTATTTATTTTTGGGACAGAGAGAGACAAAGCATGAACGGGGGAGGGGCAGAGAGAGAGGGAGACACAGAATCGGAAATAGGCTCCAGGCTCTGAGCCATCAGCCCAGAGCCCGACGCGGGGCTCGAACTCACGGACCGCGAGATCGTGACCTGGCTGAAGTCAGACGCTTAATCGACTGCGCCACCCAGGCGCCCCTACACATAGCCCTTTCTTACCCGACATTGTTCACCTGCCAAAGTCCCCCCAAGTCTACCATCCGCTATATGAAGTAATACATAATTTCATTGAACCAAAAGTCACTTCTTTTGAGCCCTAAGAATTTGCCCGTCATTTCCCATTTGGAACCTACAGGAGCTATATTAGCTCTGTCTGAAGATCTCCTGTAGCTCAGTCCTCATGGGTTCTGTCGAGACTATAGTCATTAACAACTTACGGTCTCGTTTCACTGAGATCTCTGTTAAGTGTTTTGTCACAAAAAGCCCACAGGTAAACCTGTATCCCTAGCCTTTGGAAACCAAACTTTAAAAAATATATTGACGTCACTTCTTTGTGTGGTCAGCCTGTTAGCCAGACGAGTCCTCTTGTAGGTGGGGGTGTGGTTCTCCTAAAGGGTGTAACATTCCAACTGTTAATCATCCTGGCAAAAAATAAATTCTGGGACAGGAAATAAGGACCTGGTATTGAGATGAAGGGATACAACTTCCTCCTCTCTGAAGCCATGGCTCGGTTTGGGCTGAGTTTGAGGATGGAGGTGCACCAGGGATTTCTGGCAGTAGGGATGAGCTGCCCCTGGCCACAAGCCATGAAGACAGCAGGACAGTGGTCTGGTAAGAAACCCCAGTGCAGATATTAGTTTATACAATATTTGTAAATTAATTCCAGGGAAATCTATATCAGTATGTATATCATTCTCTCTCTCTCTTTCTCTCTCTCTCTCTCTCACTCTTCCCAGCTCAGGGCAGGGGATATATATATATATATATATATATATATATATCCCCGGGGATATATATACATATATGTGTGTGTGTGTATACATATATATTTCATCAACCACATATGTATGTTCCTTCCTTTATCTTTGAAACTTGAGTGAAAACTTGTTAAATGCTATAAGGTTGTCTCAGTGATGCCACGAGGAATTAATGAAAATCCAGGCAACATGCAGTTGGTAGGCAGAGTACAGAACAGAGTGGCATCCCCTCCCTCAAGCTGGTAGCAGGAGCAGTCTCCGGAAAAGGCCAGGTGCACCCAGTAGATATGCCACCCTCGGAAGGGTCAATTGCCATGTGACCAGAAGGTCAAGATGGAAGACCCCGAGAGACCTACCCTTGAATTCAGGTCAGACAAAACCTCGGGAAACAGCCCCCGAGAGACCTACCCTTGAGTTCAAGTCAGACAAAACCTCGGGAAATGGCCATGAATGTCCAGCAAACAACTGTGAAGACAGCCAGTGTCTTGCAATAATACAGCCAGGGGCCATGTCATCAGGATCGTCCCTTGGCTAGGTTGTGTCCTGCCAAGGACAACGAGCCAAGGGGGTGAGTTGGGGTTGAAACCCAAGCTGTCCTTCACTTACCGAGCCATGCACACTTGCATGGAGCTGCATCCACCTGGAGGAAGTCGATGCATGTTTCCAGTGTTCAGGAGTGTTGCAGGCACTAGGGCAGCCCAAATGCCACTGTAGTTTGACTTATACGTTCAGAAGTACAGCTCTGGAGTGTTGTTAACAGAATGGAGTTCAAGTTGGGGTAAAGAGGGCTCAGGCCCACTTGAAGTTACTGTTGAAACAGGTTTGAGTAGAGAATCATCATGGGGGCTTGGGCAGTTGGCCAGAGTAGTTGGCATGTCTCCTGTCACAGAAGTGGGAGGGGACATGTATATAGTGCCTTCAGCCAGTATCTGCAGTGCAGGGTGCCTTGGGCGCGCATTCATATCTACATGTCACCGGATCCAGGACAGCTGACCACAGTGAGCATGGGCAGACAGAGGAAGAAGACCTGTGTTGCACTGTGGCAGCCAAGAGGTCTTCATAACCTTATGGAAGACCCGAGAAATGCCTAGACTTCTGTGGGTGGGAGTCAGAGCAATGCAAATCTGTGACTTCTAGTAGGATCTCTATCCCAACTCCTACCACCGTCAGTAGCACAGGCTAGGAATTATGGCTTACATCTTAGGGGTCTGTTGGAAGGTTTCATTTATATGCTTGTCTCCCATGAAAACTAGAAGTTCCTTGGGTCAAGGATCATGTTACATTCATACCTGTATCCCCCAAGAATCCCTAGTGCCCGATATATAGGAGATGCTCCATCTATGTTTATTGAAAGGACAAAGGACAGAAAGCTACAGGGTGTGGTCACCGCAGAACTGCGCATGTCGTGTTCCCACCGACTGATTCCTGGCTGCACGCCCGTTTGTGCCGCCCAGTCTGATGCTACCGCAGGGCTCAGGTGCTCAGAAAAGGCTAAGATGTGGGAGATCGGCTGTACCACTCTTGACAACCACACTTGAGCACACTCTTGACTTGCCAGCTGCCTGAGCTAGCCAGTTCTCTGGTTAGTGAGCTGGGTATGCACAGTCTGCTGAGCTGGGCAAGATGACCAGTGAGAGGAGAGAGGGCACAGAAACCTGAATGTCACAGACTTCGCTGTTTCTTCTCTCTTTAAAGATAAGAATGGACTGGGTGCTCTCCTCTCCCGACTCCATGACCAACGTGCCAAAAGAGAAGACATCGTTGGGGGATGTAGTTGGTAGGCTTGGCCACAAACTCCTAGGTTCAGCTACAAGTTCCAGGAGACCCAGGCATGAGGTTCATGTTTCCATTAAATGTCTTCTCCCCGTTCAGTCAGGAACTGTGAACAAACTTCTCTTTCCGACCTTTGTTCTTGGTGCCTGGATAAGTGGAGAGTTAACATTTAAGTGAGCTGATATAAATGGCTATTAATTTACTTTAGCTGAATTCAACAGGGGTTTATAAGCAGGAGCTATGCACACAACTCAACGCATCAGGGGACTTTTTTAAAAGTCTAGGATAGGGGCGCCTGGGTGGCGCAGTCGGTTAAGCGTCCGACTTCAGCCAGGTCACGATCTCGCGGTCCGTGAGTTCGAGACCCGAGTCAGGCTCTAGGCTGATGGCTCAGAGCCTGGAGCCTGTTTCCGATTCTGTGACTTCCTCTCTCTCTGCCCCTCCCCCGTTCATGCTCTGTCTCTCTGTCCCAAAAATAAATAAACATTGAAAAAAAAAATTAAAAAAAAAAAAAGTCTAGGATATCAGAGCCTTCCACTAACTATCCCATTACAAAAGTAGAGCAGAGCAACTTTGGGGAAAATATAGAAAAAAGCTAGGCAGGATGTGATCAAGAGTCCCCATGAGTGGCCCAGTCATCGGGAGGTCTGAGAAAGATCACTGTGGGCAGGAAAAGCTCCCTGTGGGTGTGAGCCAGATGGGCAAAGCTGGGTGAGTTCAGGGAGAAGAAGGGAAGGGGGGGAAGGCATTTCAAGCAGGTAGAATGGCATGAGCAAAGGCTTGGAGGTGGAATAACTGATACCTCAAAAATATTTCTCTTGGGAATAGGGACCAAAGGGAAGTAAGACTGAATGAGTTGGTTGCAAACAGATTAATGCTCCACAAAAGAGTGTGTACTTGACCATATACTCAGGCCAGCATTTGCTAAAATGTTCTCACTGGAATCCTAGCCTTGCAATCTTGACCATGAGATAAGAGTTCCAGTCAAGTCAAAATCATAGTCCCAGCAATCTTCCCATTAGGCAGTTCACACTGTGCATTAATATAGTAAGACTGAGTGCAGTCCTGCAGTAAAGAAAGAAATCTGTTCCACTTGGTTGAAAACCCTGTTAAACATGAAAAGATGTTCAACATCGTTAGTAAATAGGGAAGTGAAAATTTAAAACATACACCCTATTAGAATGACTTTTTAAAAAAAACTGGCATGGGGCGCCTGGGTGGCGCAGTCGGTTGAGCGTCCGACTTCAGCCAGGTCACGATCTCGCGGTCCGTGAGTTTGAGCCCCGCGTCAGGCTCTGGGCTGATGGCTCAGAGCCTGGAGCCTGTTTCCGATTCTGTGTCTCCCTCTCTCTCTGCCCCTCCCCCGTTCATGCTCTGTCTCTCTCTGTCGCAAAAATAAATAAACGTTGAAAAAAAAAATTTTAAAAAAACTGGCAATACTAAGTACTAGTGAGAATGCAGAGCAGATGAGACTTTTGTAATCCTGCTGGTCAGGGTGCAAAATGGTACCACAGCTTTGGGAAACAGTGGGGCAATTTTTTTTTTTTTCAACGTTTATCCATTTTTGGGACAGAGAGAGACAGAGCATGAACGGGCGAGGGGCGGAGAGAGAGGGAGACACAGAATCGGAAACAGGCTCCAGGCTCTGAGCCATCAGCCCAGAGCCCGATGCGGGGCTCGAACTCACGGACCGCGAGATCGTGACCTGGCTGAAGTCGGACGCTTAACCGACTGCGCCACCCAGGCGCCCCCCAGTTGGGCAATTTTTAAAACTAAAGTCAAATACATACTGTCTTAGCTTGGGCTACCATAAGAAACTTCCATAGGCCGGGTGACTTAAACAACAGAAATGTATTTTCTCACAGTTCTGGGGGCACGGTCGGTTTGTGGTGAAAGCTTTCTTCCTAGCTTGTGGATGGCCACCCTCTCTTTGTCCTCACGTTCAGGCCATATGTACGCTTACCATACAGCCAGAAATCTCGCTCCGAGGTATTGATCCAAGTGGGAAAAAAAAAACCCTTACATTCACAGCAAACTAGGACACAAATGCTCAAAGCATTTCATTCATCATCACCCACAACAGGAAACAGGGCAAATGTCCTCGGAAGGGGACCAGAATATGCCACCCCAAAATATGCCGCTTTGGGGTAAAGATGATTTGGAGCTACAGCCAATTGAGAATCAAAGGATGAAGAAACAGGCCTTCTCAGAGCCTTCCCTATCTGATTGAGAACGGAAACTTCTGAGAAGTGAGGGCTGCCGTAAATGCCCTCTCCTGGGGGAGTTTTATGGCCACCAAGCAGACGGAAAGTGGGCACCAAGATGGACCTACACAAACAGCCTTTACTAAATAAACCTTATCTTCCATTAGTTTCCCCATATATTTACCTTCCCACAATTTACCACCCCTAGAAGCTCAAACCCTTTCCATTTGTCTTGTTATAGCTCTGCAAATGTATTGCCCTTTTGCTAAAATGGTGGGTAAGCTTTAAGGTCTGCCTGCCTCTTTAGGGTTTTAATTTCATTTTTTTTCTAACGTTTATTTATTTTTGAGTGAGTGAGAGAGAAAGAGAGAGAGAGAGAGAGAGAGAGAGAAACAGACTGCGAGTGGGGGAGGGGCAAAGAGAGAGAGACTACAGAATCTGAAGAAGGCTCCAGACTCTGAGCTGTCAGCCTGATGCGGGGCTCGAACCCACGAACCAGGAGATCATGACCTGCGCAGAAGTAGACATTTGACCAACTGAGCCACCCAGGCTCCTGTGGGGTTTTGATTTCTGTGAAGCCCTTCTTATGCACATATGAAATAAACCTTTTTTTCTCCTGTTAATTTGTCTTTTGTCAGTTCAGTTTGCAGGGCTCCAGCCACTGAACCTCAGAGGGTAGAGGAAAAAGTGTGTTTCCTCCCCTCCACAGTTAATGAATGAATGGGTGAACAAACGGATACATTCATACAAGGGAATACTGCTCCACAGCAAAAAAGAATAAACTACTGACACATGCAGCCATATGGTTGAATGTCAAGTACATTGTATGAAGGGAAAGAAGCCAGACTCAAAAGGCTACATATTGTATAATACCATTCATGTGACATCCTGGAATGGGCAAAACTTGTAAGAGTAGAAAGCTGCCAAGTGGCCACCAAAGTCTGGGAGTAGGGGAAAGGTTTACTAGAAACCGACAAGAGGGAAGTTTTTGGACTGAAGGAAATATTTTACATCACAGTAGGGGCAATGACTGTACAACTGTGCGTTCGTCAAAACTCATAGAGTTGAATGCGCCTAAAAGGTTAATTTTACTGCATATAAGTTATGTCACAATCATTTCTTTTAAATGAGGATAAAAGAAAAAATGACACAGAACAAATGCTGAACAAGGGGGGAAATGCCTATTCACATCCCTTGGAACTATGTTTACATGGAACACAATTTGTAATTGGGGTTTGAACTCATAGATGAAGCATTCCGACAGTCACACCAGGATCCCTCATTCATCCCACAAATATTTAGTGAGTTTCTACCCTATGCATTATTCTAGATTCTGGCGCATTTAAGGGCACAAGCAAATTAAAAATAAGAGGCTTAATTCTCCCTGTTGAAAAATAAGGGGAGACGCACTTTCCCCTTCTCCCTGTTCTTTCAGTTTCTTTCTCTGTTCCTTGCACTGCTGTGGGAGAAAATGCAGAGAAGGACATTAGGGAATATAGGGAGTAGGACTTTGTCATTGGTAGTGCGGTGGTCAAAGAAAACCTCAGTGAGAAATTGAAGTATAAGCAAAAACTTATAGCAGATGAGGAAGAAAGCCATAAGGCTATCTAGGGGAAGAATGGCCTGGTCAAAGGGAACAAGTAGATGCAAAGGCCCTAAGGAAGGTTGTGTACTTGATCTCTAAATGCTCAAATTTCACTGCCTCCCTTCTTTTGAGAGTTGCTTTCTGCCCATCTGACCCACTTGCCATGCTCACAAAACCAAGAGCCACCCTTTCTCCACCCGCTCCAAATAGGCGGAAGGAACCCGGCCCTTGCTTATGTTTATCTGCACTTGACTCTTTTATGGTGATTTGATCTCTTCAGTATCTTCTCTAAAGAGAGCCAATAATCCCACCTGTTTGAAGTCATCCCCATCCCTTCATCCCATATCAAGCAACACAAGATGCTATTTCCCCAATTCTGAGATGCTACTGATTGTAAGATGCTCTATCACTTGAATAGAAGCCTTTCAGTGGGAGAAAGAAAGGAAAGAAGGAAGTAAATAAAGAAGGTAGAAAGAAAGAGAGGAGGGAAAAAGACAGGGAGAGCTTGGGGAGCTAAATTAACTGTATATACTCTTAAATTACTTTAGCGTTCACACATCTGTGCAATTATATGCTGCTATTGTTTTCCTATATACCAGCAATGAACAGGGGAATTTGAAAGTAAAAACATAACACTGGGGCTCCTGGGTGGCACAGTTGATTGAGCATCTGGCTCTTGATTTCGACTCAGGTCATGATCTCAGGGTCATGGGATCAAGTTCTGTACCAGGTTCCACACTGAGTGTGGAGCCTGCTGGAAATCCTCTCTCTCTCAAATAAAAAAAAAAACAAAACCAAAACATAACACTATTTATATTAGCACCCTCCAAAATGAAATAAAAATCTAACAAAATATGTATAAGATCTATATAAGGAAAACTATAAAACTCTGATAAGAGTATTAGAGAAGAATTCAATAAATAATAAATGGGGAGATGTCTTATGTTCACGGATGGAAAGACTCAGTATTTTCAAGATGTCATTCTTCCTAACTTGATCTATAAGTTCAATGCAATCCCACTAAAATCCCAGCATGTTATTTTGTGGATACCAATAACCTGATTCTAAAGTTTACGTGGAGAGACGACACAGACTATCCAGAATAGTCAACACAGTATTGAAGGAGAAAAACAAAGCTGGAAGATTGACACTATCTAATTTCAAGTCTTCCCACAAAGCTGCGGTAATGAAGAGGGTGTGGTATTGGCAAAAGAATAAACAGACCAATGAAACAGAACAGAGAACCCAGAAACAGACTCCCATCAGTATTGTCAACTGATCTTTGACAAAGGAGCAAAGTGATACAATGGAGAAAAGACATGGTCTTCTCAACCAATGGTGCTGGAACAATGGATGTCCATGTACAAAAAAACGATTCTAGACACAGACTCTACACCATTCACAGTTACCAAAGCTTAACTCTGGCTTCTTTCATAATCAGAGATTAAATATTCTTCCAAATCATTTTGTACCCCCAGTTATTTCATAGCCTGGTGGGGACCGGCTGCTTTTCAGCCATGCTTAAGAGTTTGGCCTCATTAGCACGCTTAAGATTGACAATATAATTTGAAGGCATCATGGAGAATCCTAGGGGTTTACTGGCGTTTCCTCTTTGGTTAAACTTATAGTTTCATTTTGCCTTTTTTTTAAGGATAAACATTAAACAGCTTCTAGTGAAAGTCACTAGAAATTTTCTACAGATTTTGAATTCTGAATAACAGGCTTTTTTTTTTTTAATGATGCATGAAATGGTCACAACAATTCCCCCCAGCTTTGAAAACTTTTTAACTCGCTCTGCGTGATGGGGCAATTTCTTTTTTTTTTTATTTTTGTATTTATTTTGACATGTAAGAAAAATAGAGTGAGTCTTAAATTAGAGGAAATACGGCAGTTTTCAAAACTCACAAGGCCTTGAGAATTCGATTGAGCCCACAGAGCTGACACCGTATCCACCAGCTACAAAGTTGTGCCTTCCTCCACACTTTCTGTAATCCCAACTCCCGCTCCAGCTCCAACCTTGGAGATAACAGAATTCAAAGCACAGTTTGGAGGGAAAACCAATCTGAAAAGGAAGAAGAAGACAATAGTTAACGTTTATTTTAAACTTCCTGCCTGAAATACCATGAGACTAATTTCTTTCAGATCGGACTTTGTTTCCTGAGGGCTCACAGGCAAATGTGTATTTTCGCGGCTGTGCTAAAATACGAAGGCTCCCTTTTGTACGGCCTTGAACCTCCCTTGAATTAGCTGTTGTTGAAACACCAACTCACATCTGATACAGGAATTAGGACTTAATCCTATAAAAAGTATTTTTTTGCAGTTTTGTGTGCAACATGTATGGTTGTTTTTGTCTGGGGTGTCTTTTGTTTCTTTTTGAATAAAATTATAAAGCAAAAACCTTTTCCTCATGGTTACTAGCTCTCATACAGCAAGGCCCCTCCCTTCATGTTTTAGCAGGAAGAGCTTTGCCTTGCTGCCTCTGGAAAAAATCTGGAAATATGTGATATGAACGTACATGGGAGGGCAAAGCCAAACCAGGCCAAGATGCAGTGTCTGGAAGAAGGAGTCACCTTGCAGGGGCTCAGTGCCTCTCTCACTGAGAGCCAGCCCCAGGGTGAGAATACAGCCTCTTGCTGGTGCCCACAGCCCCATAGACCGACATAAGAAAAGCAAACAGGACCACACGCCTCTGCCATAGCGGCCCTTGGTTGCTGGACAGGAAAGAGTAACATCTCTACTGGAGCAGCTAGAAACCCTTTCCTCTCATTTCTGGCCAGGAAATCTTCCACATTCAATGCAAGATATCCCTTACTTTTTCGGGTTGAATTATTTTCTGAGAAAGGGCCTCATTTTGCATCACCCACTGTCTCTGCATGCTGCATTTGGAGGTCCTGGACTTTCCTGGCCACTATCAAGGCACAGGCTGAGCAGTCCTGCTGGAACCGAATAATGGGGGCACCATTACTGAAAATACAAAAGTTCATGTAGAAAAACAGACATTTGGGGGCACCTGGGTGGTTCAGTCCGGTAAGCCTCCAACTTCAGCTCAGGTCATGATCTCGTGGTCCCGTCAGTGAGTTCAAGCCCCACGTCGGGCTCTGTGCCGACAGCTCAGAGCCTGGAGCTGCTTCGGATTCTGTGCCTCCCTCTGCCTCTGCTCCACCCCTGCCGGCACTCCGTCTCTCTCTGTCTCTCAAAAATGAATAAACGTTAAAATTTTTTTAAAGAGAAAAAAGAAAAACAGACATTTGATCTAAATACAACGTCAGCACTGCTTCACCGTGATACAGAAATACATTTTTGGTATCCACTTATGTTAAATAGCCAACTTCAAGTATGATCTTTTTAAAAAATTTTTTCTAATGTTTATTTACTTTTCAGGGAGGGAAAGAGAGAGTACAAGCAGAGAAGGCGCGGGGTGGGGGGGATACAGAATCTGAAGCAGGATCCAGGCTCCCAAGCTGTCAGCACAGAGCTTGACGCGGGGCTCAAACTCACAAACCGCGAGATCATCACCTGAGCTGATGATGTTGGACGCTTAACCGACTGAGCCACCCAGGCGCCCCTACAATCTTCTTAAAATAACCACTAACTTCTGAAATAGATGCTGACAGTCCTTTAGTAGATTTTCTCCACAGGTTTTCTTGTGGCCAGTCCCTGGCTGGATGGTGAATGTCACAAAAATTTAGTGTAAATTACATGTTCATTATAACTTCCCCAAGAATCAAAAAGATAGTAATAATTTTTTTCACTAAGCACGTACTTTTTTAAAAAGTATATTGTTCCCCACATTGTTTATTTATCAAACAAACAAACAAAAAAAGGAATTACTAAATATCAGAATGAATAGTTGTGGATTCAGACCATACAGCAAACGACAAAACCACTGTGGGAAAAGCATTCGGGGCATTTTGTATTTGTGCTACGGAAGCCACGCTCAGCTTTTGTTTTCTGCACGTATTTCACGTACAACCACCCTGTAGTTTCCCATGTTTGCCACTGACCTTGCTGAGTGGCAATGTGATGATGCCATCCATCTCACAGGCCACAGCACAGACCGCAGGGCACAGCTGACGGGCACACTGAGTGGTCCACCTGAGCACGAGCAACAGACACCCCTTCAGGAGATCTGGAGACTTAAAGGAGTCACCGATCCTGAGACACAGGTGTCTGAAAGCCTGGTGTATGTTAAGCTGCCCACGTGCTGACCTTCAGAAGGAGATAATAGTTATGCTGTGTCTGGAAAAGGTCAGGGATACGTATTAAAGTGAGAAAGGTTTTCACTGCACATGCATCACATGCAATAAAAGCAGAGGTCTACCAAACTTAACCCGGGTTCATTTAGTGTGACCATAAAGATGAATATATGATCAAGTTTTCAAAATGATCCATGTTCATTACATTTGAAAAGAAGATATAATCTCTATTATTGGGGCATAGTATTAAACGTATGTGCACAAGTTCTACCTTATTATTTATTAAGTTGTTTAAAACATGTATATCTTTATTTCCTTTGTGTTACACCTGTCATGCTGAGTTTGTGGTGCTGAAGTCTCTATTTCTATCTTTTTCTATTCTCATCTGATGTAATTTCTGCTCTATGTTAGTGGTGGCTGTATTATTTGGTGCATAGATGTTCATCATTTCTCTTCATTGCAAATTGTGGTTTTCAGTCAGCCTTAAGTGTATTTTTTGTCTCATTTAAAGGTTTTTGGCCTGAATTTACTTTAACTGATATGAGTCACTACCCTGTCTTTCTACTGTTTTTATTTTTATGGTGTGTTTTTGGCCATTTCTTTATCTTGGGTCTTTTGAATCACTGTGTTTGAGGTGCCTCTATTAAATATAATACGGGATCTGCTTTTGCCTTGTGAGCTAATTTGAGAATTGGTTCATTTGTCCCTATAGCAAGAAAAGAGAAGACACCAGAAAAGTCCATTCCATTAACTGGTTTGTCTTACGTGTTTAGTCTCAAGGTGATCACATTCTGTTTTAATCATGCCTGTGTTATATTTACTGTCTTCCCTTCTTCATTGGGCATATTTTCTTTGCAATTTCTTTGCTCATTGCTTTTGGCATTTCAGAATGTTTGTATGTCTGTTCCAGGGGCTGTCTTTGTATTTGTTCCACTGACAGTGCCCTTAATCTCCCTTTTTTTCTTACTAAGGCTTTGCCATCTGGTATGTCCATTTGTATCCTTCTTCACTTATCTATACAACTGTCAATTTTACTGTCCTACCTTGCTGTTTCTCTCTCTCCCTCCCTCCCTCTCTCTCTTTCTCTCTCTCTCTCTCTCTTTTTTTTTTTTTTTGGTTGTGTTAGTTTTACTTTTCCAGAGCATAAAATATAGAGATACTACTCTTCAATCCATATTCTCACCCTCGTTTTAGTCTTAGCTATGCAATTAAATATATTACAACATAAATAACATAATAATTAATTAATACTAATAAAATAAAATAACATAATAAGATTACATCATAAAATACATTTTCACTACTAGTGCTTTTGCTAAAGTTTACCAATTATCTCTTGGTTAGATAAAATTCATCCTCTAAAAGAGTCCTCTATGGCACACGTATACAGTATTCCCTGAGTTACTGCATATTGAAACCATTTCCTTTAACCTTAATATTTGAAGGTAAGCTTGGCTGGATAGAAAATCTTTGGCTCACAGTCTTTGTTCTTGAGCCTGTTAAAAGGCTGCCCTTTATTGCCTAGCTTTATAAGTTGCTCATGAGAAGTCTGATGTCAGTTTAATATTCTTACCCTTATAAGTAATTTGACCTGTTAGCTGGGAGGCCCTGTAGTGGACTAAATAGTGACTCAAAACAGGTATGTCCTCAGCCAAATGCCTGGACCCTGTGAATGTTACCTTATTTGAAAAAAGGGACTTTTCAAATGTAATCAAGAATTTTGACATTAGGTCATCTTGGATTACCCAGGTGGCCTCTAAATTTAATGACAAGTGTCCTTTTTTTTTTTTAATGTTTATTTATTCTTGAGAGAGAGAGCACGAGCAGGGGAGGTGCAGAGGGAGGGGGACAGAGGATCAGAAGCGGGCTCCGCGCTGACAGCAGAGACCTTGATGCGAGACTCAAACTCACAAACTGTGAGATCATGGACCTCAGCCGAAGTCGGACACTTAACCGATTGAGCCACCCAGGTGCCCCAATGACAAGTGTTCTTAAAAGAGAAAAGGATGGGATGTAAATTTGAGAGAGGAAGTGAAAGAAATGCACAGGGATAAAGAGGAGAAGGCCACATGAAGACAGACATTGAGATTGGAGTGACGTGGCCATAAGCCAAGAAACACCTGGAGTCACCAGAGGCTGAGAAAAGCCTAGAGGATTCTCTCATAGACCCTTCAAAGGGAACATACTGATACCTTGATTTTGGACTTCCAGACTCCAGAACTGTAGAAAAATAAATTTATGTTTCTTTAAGCCACCAGTTTGAGGTAAGCTATCATCAATACAGGTGCTGAGGATTGTGGATATGTGCGTGTGTCTATAAAATCTCATGGTTCAGGGGCAGCTGGGTGGCTGAGTTGGTTAAGCGTCTGACTTCAGCTCAGATCACGATCTCATAGTTCGTGACTTTGAGCCCCACATCGAGCCCCTGTCAGCTGTGCTGACAGCTCAGAGCCTGAAGCCTGCTTCAGATTCTGTGTCTCCCTCTCTCTCTGCCACTCCCCCACTCATGCTTTGTCTCTCTCTGCCTTTCAAAAATAAATAAAGGCAATAAAAAAAATTTTTTTTTAATCTCATGATTTACCCAAAAATGCCTCAAGTTCTTTCTGGAAAATTTTCCTAGATATGTAGTGAGCCTTTTAAAATATTGATTTACATTTTTTCTTATTTCTGCAGTTTTCTTGGATTATAGGTATGTTTCATTGCTTTGTTTTCCTTCTTCAGGAACTGCTATTCTATATGTTGCACTTTATTTGCCTATCTTCCATTTCGGTCACATTGTCTTCCACCTCGGCTACACCTTTCTTTATTTTATTTTCATCTTCCTGATCATTTAACTGCCCTTGTTCATTGTTGAAATCATGCAACATCCAAATCTAGTGTCTTTTTCTTTTTTTAATTTTTTTAATGTTTTTTTTCTTTTTGAGAGAGAGAGAGAAACAGAGTGCAACGGGGAGGGGCAGAGAGACAGGGAGACACAGAGTCCCAAGCAGGCTCAGGGCTCTGAGCTGTCAGCACAGAGCCCGACGTGGGGTTCAAACCCATGAACTATGAGATCATGACCTGAGCCAAAGTTGGATGCTTAACTGACTGAGCCATGCAGGCACCCCTCTGGGTTCTTCTAATAGCATCTCTTTATAGAGTTAGGTTGATTTTTTTTTTCTTTTGCTGAGCCATTTTTAACAGAGTTCCTAATTCAAGAACACTGTCAGCTGTCCGTGCCGCAAGGTAAAATGTCTCTGGGGGACAGTGATGGGGAGCAGAGCCCTCAGGTCTTATTTATGTGTCATTTCTGCAAGATCCTAAGTTTTCTTCTTAGTTCCTTCTTTTCCGTTCATTGCCAGGTCTCTAAGGTGCACCACCCTTTTTTGGTTTACCTGATTCTCCCACAAAGTAATGCTTTCCTGTAGCGGCTATTTCTGGTTCTGTTCACTTTCAAGCACCTTCTCCCTCACTGTGCGGTAGACATTTCACTTAGTTTTAAAACTTGCTCTTTCTGTGAGTGTTTTTGTCCACACTACGGCTAAGTGCTCCCTGTCTCTTTACTCTTTTTCCTGGAGATTTTAAGTCTCTCTCCCACGCTCTTACCCAGCTTATAGTGACAAGTGATAGGAGCTCTCTTGGGATAGCGCCTTCATTTCTCTCCTTGTTGGTAATTTGAAGTTTGGGGTATTCTATCTCTTCTCATGCTGACGTCATGGGCTATGGGTGGTACTCTTATGCTCCTGTTGAATTTAAGGTCTGTATGAAGAGACTCGATTTCAGGCGCTTGCACTTATCCTCCAAATATGGAAACTTGCTTAGATTACTGTTTCTTAACCCTTTTGAACCCATTTTCTCTTTTCATCATCCCAAAAATCTCATA